TACCGGAAAAGAAATTGAACGAAACTAGCATGACAAAATGGGAGTTAATATAGTTGTGTATCAAAATTCCAACATTACTGTATGAAAGATGGGGGAGGGGAGGAAGATGGGAAATGATAGCTCATTGCTCAAGGCAATCATGTCATGTCATGTCATGTCATGTCATGCAATACGATTAGCTGAGAAAAAAGACAGATATAACTGTAAATTATGTTGGGCAAAGCATTCCCAGCAGTATTATTTTGATCCCACGGACTCCTGCGCTCCATTTTAGACAAGCAAGTTCTGGAGAGATAACTCTCTGAAAGAATGACAGAAGAAACTGTCTTATTCATTGTTGCTTTAATTATTCTTATATAATTCTTATGTAAGTCTTTTCAACTGAAGTGTGGGGTAAAAATGTTTTAAATTAAAAAAAAGCAATTAGAGATAATCTAGGGAAAAGATAGATGGTTAGGCCTTTTTCTTAGCAGAAGAACAGTGAAAGAAACATTTTCTTTCACAAGGACTTTAGCAGGATGAACAGTAGAGAAGAGAAAAATCTACTAAATTAAACAGGAAGGCTATTAAACAAGTTCAGAGCATTTTAAGAAATGATGCAGCTATTGCAGTGTGTGAGACTATCACATTTCACTTCATTGAGGCACTATGTGTCACCTTGCAGCCTTAACTGGCAGCCAGTCAATGACCTAACCTCTCTTTGCACCTATTCCAGATTTTTCTGAATCTTTCTTAAAGTATAGGGTCAAGAACTGGACCCTATACTTGACCCTAGGCTTGGGTTATTATTTATTGTGTTTTAGAAACTATCCTTCTATTGATGTATTCAAAACTTTCATTAACATCGATGTCATACTGCCGGTTTAGATTCAGCATGTGATCTACTATAGCTCAAAGACAGTATTTCCCATCTTAGAACTGTGCATTTGATTTTATTCTTCTAAGTGAAGAACTTTACATTTTGTCAAATTTCATTCTGTTATTTCTAGCCTATCCTGCTAACTTAACCAAGCTCATTTTGAATTAGCTATCCCACCCAGTTCTGAGTCACCTGCAGATTAGATAAGCATTCATTCTACCTTTATCTTCAAATAATTAATGAAATTGTTGAGTATTGAGCCCAAGACTGAACTCTATTTTATCACACTTGATACCTTACTCCAATCTTATGGGGAACCACTGATGTTCATAAGTCTGGATTTAAATATGGAAATGCTATCTAGTTCATACTTAAATAGCCTGCTTATCAGAATGCCACATGGTACTTTCTCAAGTGCTTACCAACGTCAAGTTATATTATGTACTTCCAAAGCACTCCCACATTCTACTAAGGAAATTAGTAAAGAAAAATGAAACTAGATGAGTCTGATAAGATGTATTCTCAACAAATCAATGTTTTTTTTAATAATTACCACATTGTTTTCAAAATGTTTAACAGATCAATAGTGTTTTTTTGCTGTAGAATCTTTCCAGATAGTAATTCAAAACTGATTGATCAGTACTTTCTGAGTTTTTTCTTTTTGAAAATAAGGACATTTGGTCTTCTCTGGTTATCCAGCATTTCCTCCATTCTGCAGGATTTTTCAAAGGACTTTGATAGAAATAAGTCAGACCATCACTGTCCCTTCACCATCCTAGATATTGTTAAATAGTTAAAAATGGCTATTTCCTTGGGGCTTGGGATCAGAAGTGTCCCTTATTGGAGGCCTAATTCCATGCTACTGCTGGAAATGTTTAAAATTAAGAAAGAAAGGTGACCTAGGGACGGAGAGAATTTGTTGTGGCTGCTTTGATGAGAAGAGATGAAAAATTTGCTGGTGTTTAAAATTACTGAGTAAAACCTCAATCAGCTCCTTGTTTTAATATGAAACTGTGAGTGATAGAATTAGTGACTTCTGTTCTTGTTTTTTTTTTTTTCTTAAAGAGAACCCTTCTCCCCACATTCTTGCGAATTAAAACTATATTTTTCATGAATAGTAGGAAGCAGTTGCTCAGAAGTAAAAGTCCACTGGGCCAATATTCATTCCTTATGGGAGCCAAACAGCCTAAGCTGCTCCTTTGATCCTGTCTTGCATTTCCCCAGGCACTTATTTATGGAATTACTTAATTACTGAATGCTAACATTTTTTTGTCCACAAAAATTTATTTATGCAATGAATTTCTATTCAAGATATTAGTTTTTCCATGTGGCATGCAATATAAAATAAACGTGGTATATTTTTTTTAAAAAATATGACCCTGGTTCAAAAGCCCATTTTGCACAGTCAATACAAATTTCTATTCTTCTCTGTCCCTGACTGAATGCTAAGAAACTGGTTCTACAAGTCTGTAGCTGATTGCAGTGCGAACCAGGGAAAAGGCAATGGTTGGAGTATGACAACAGACTAGTGCAAAAAAAAAAAAAATCACCAATACCTCCTAGAGGAGTTTTAGAATACTGCCTTTCTAAGAAAATGAACTTTAGTAAAATTCAGGGTTTTTTAAAACTGTCTTCATGTAGATATATGGAAACCTTTGGCTGATGTTTTAGTGCTTGATTAATGGTTTAGTATTTGATTAGTGTTTGATAGCATCTGTAGTGCACATTGTGAAGCAAGACTTAGACTAAGAGTGAAACAGAGTACAGTAGTTGATGTTAAAGAAATTATAGCTGCCTTATGTTAAAATTACTTTGCTGAAGGATTCCAAGTCTACTGTATCTACAGCTGGGGCTAGGTAGCCTGCTGGGGACTGGCAAGGAAATTGTTGGACTGTGTCTTAACTTCTAAGATAGGGCTCATCCTGACAAAGCTACATTACCAGAAATATAATTCTTTATAGAAAGCATGTTTCTTTCTGTTGCAGCCCCAGTCATGCTGCACTGTTAAACCTGCATGACGTTCTGGGCAGGTGTTTTTATTTCTGATCAGAATATGATCCTTGCACTGGAACAGGAGTGAATTGTCTGAATGTCATTTTGGAGGCTTGTGGTGTGTTCTCAATCACTATAACCTGATTAATGAACTGAGACCGTGAAGAAATCAAGAGCATCCTGGGTAAATCTCCATAGCCTTCAGATGTTTCCAGGTGTGTGCACACTGAAAATAAACTTATTTTGTTTCTTAGAGCAGAGAAGAAAGGCAGCAACGGTGTGAAGAGAGAGACTGAAGTTAATGGAGATCAGTTCAAATACAGAATTCTTTTTCAAAGTTTGCATTTGTATGTGAGGTAGCTAAATGCAAGGAATGGGTTACAGAATTGGACTGTGTGTTTTTACACATCTATATGTATGCTTGGAAACAGGCAATTGGGTACCATGAAGAGATTCTTCTATATGCATAAATACCAATGGATACATTTTAAACTATTTTGTAACATCCAAACAAACAAATCCATTCTTTAATCAGTGCCTTTTAGCTGATGGCTTAATAAGTGACTATTTTAACTGGAAAATAAAGTCTTTAAAAATAACAGCCCAAACTTGGTGTTAGAATATGTTTTACAACTAGTTTGCAACGTCGATCCCTCTGCTTACTATGATGCCTACCCTCCATCCTGCCTGCTTCACTGGGCACCGGTTCAATAATCTTAATTTCTGGGATTCACCTTTGAAGAGTTAAGAAAATGGCACTCTGCTGTACTACTCATCTTAAATCAGCTGACTCACTTGTTGGGAATGTACTGGAGAGAGAACAACCCTGTTCTTATTAAGAGTGGAAACATTCATTTCATTAGACAATCCCCAAAAGATTAGCACCAGAAAATCCATTATTTTAGGATCAACGGAAAGCAAATAAGCCCTGATTTTCAGCCTTAAATGGTCTATTACCTCAACAAGGCCATGCTTTCTATGCAGGAGACAATCTCCAGCCAGTGGCATGATATGTCCAAAACAAGCTGAAGGAGGATGACAACCATTAATTCAAAATGCTATTTGTGGCTTTCTTGAGACAAAGTTGTTGACACACTGTAATTGGCAGCCCACATTCTGTTTTTCCTGTTCTACTTGCTCTTTCAAGAGAGGGCTGGTGCCCCATAGTACGGTGTCATTCTGATGAGACGCAGGGCGAGCCTACCAAGCGAGACTACAGGTATCAGAATAATAGCTCTGGGGAAGTTTCACCACAGTCACTGTCCATCTCTGAAGTTTTAAATGCTTCAAAACAGGGGCCTGTTCCCAGTTGCTCTCTGGTTTCTGGCTGCAAACTTTCTTCCACAAGCTCCATTACAATGAACAAGAACTGTGTAAGAGCTTGGGAAGAAAACAATGCCAGAAGTTATTGGGCTGTGAAGTCTCTTTCAGATAATATGAGAACTTGGGGTTCCACCTTCAAAGCAGTTTGTTTTTTAGAAATCTTGGCAAAATTAATGAGAAATTTAAGGAAATAGAAATGCTTTGGCTATCTAACTGTTTTAGAGTTTGCTAAATTTTAATATAGTTTAGAGTTCTCTCTTTCTCCTCTCTATGGCTTTCAAGCAAAGACTTTCATTCTTTAAGAATACTAATTTATGGGCATATCTACATAGAGGCCTCCATTACAAGTTACAAAGACTGAAAACGATGACATGTAGATCGTATCATCACACAGGTTACATTTGTACTACCACACCTGATGCAAGTATGTCAGTGATGTCATTTACTGGTGTGCACATGGTGTGATTTGCCCCTCCCCCTTGTCCCCATGGATGCTTATATTATACATTAAACTGGTTTAGTTATTCTTTCCTATGCCTGGAACCTGGAACAGAGACAGGAGAAAAATGGTGGTAAGTCAGGCAACTCTAGCACTTTCTGCAAATTAATAGTCCCAAGCATTACACTCGTGACAGATGAATTGATATGAAAATCAATAGTTGTGCTGATTGTGTTGCTGGGTGAGGCACTGCTTTGGGAGACTCTACAAATGCAAAGAGCACTGGGACCAAGTAACAATATAAACTTATTACAACTCAGTTTTTTTTATTTGTGTAAAAAAATTATAAAATAAATAAGTCATTGAGTTGTGTGAACATATTAAATAAAGAACACATTTACAGCAATAGAAAATCTCTATACTTACATATTTACATAAAAAAATCTAAAAAACTGTTTTTCATCTTACATACAAGCTACTGTAAACTAACACAAGCCTATGTATGATTATTCTGATGTAAATCCCATTACATTTCATAGTTTATCTGAAAATGTGCATCGAACTATAACTTGAATTAAAGATGTCTCTCTGTGGAAGTGATTTACATCTGTACAGGAAACACTGAAGTTAATAAGATTGCAAACTTAATTCAAGGTGCCTTATGTTGCCCTTCAATATGTTTTAAAGTAAAAATCCTGTGGAAGTTGATAATAGTGTGTCAGGTTGATCTTTCTTGTTTTGTTTTAATAAATATTGTACCTATATTGCTTCACTGCTTGTTCCTATATACCCAGTTTCAGCAAAAGCTTGGCTCAGAGCAATCTTTGTTCATTCCAGAGGGGATGGTAGAAAAGCAGTTCCCACTAGTTAGGTAGAAATAGTTCTTCTTTGTTTGATACGAAATCAGGTGTCTGGTAACACTTTTTCCGACTAACAAACTGTATTAACAGGCATAAGCGTTCATGAGCTGCAGTTCACTTCATCAGATGCATAGGGTGGCTAGACTGATATAGGATTTAAATTAGGGTGGAGGGGGGCAGGGAGGAGAAGACAGGTTGGCTATGCAGATGCTGGTTACACGTGAGGCAAATTACTAGTATATTGATATGGCAGTGGATAAGAACCAGAGGGAACAAGCATGAGAAAACACCAGGGTTGGCAAAACAGTGCCGTTTCTTAAAGTAAAGCCTTTATATTATCCAAATCCCAGGATTCTTACTGCTGAAATAGTAGCCCACTCCCCACCTTACAATATTAAAGGGGAAATTGAACTCTCAAGAATTAACGTTGTAGATGTTAGGGACTAGACTAATCTCAGGAAACAAAGCCACCAACAAGCAATTCTGTTGGTTGGCAGTTTTACAAGCTGATTGCATCTCCCCAAACACATGTTTTCAAAACCAGAGCAGCAACTTGGAAGCTGCTCCAATTGCTTATGTACTTTCCAGTGAGACAAAACTGCATTCAACACTGGCACTTCTGGCCTGGCACATTTTCATCGAGCAAGCGGGAATCCTCTAGATGACAGGGTTGGAGGTGTGGGAGAAAAGAGGCACACCCTATACCGTTTGTCCCAGTTGGGAGTCACTGAGCTCTTTAAGCAGCGTGAGAGACTTACTCAAAGCCAGTTCCGTGTTCCCCTTTCACCTTCATGGGTGTGTGTGGAACACAGCAAAGAATACAGTCACACGTGGCTTTCAAATTCATGCTTTCTCACATACTCTCTCAATCAGTTCATCTCTGCCAAAAGGTAACATGTGCAAAAAAGAAGCACACAAGGCAGCAGCCATTCGTTATTCTCCTACGACCGAGCAGCACTGGCTGGTGCGCTGGCTGCTGTGAAACCAGAGATGTTCATTCCTGCAGGTGCAGTAGCATGCTGGCAATTGCCAAGGGGGAGGACAGAGGACCACTCCCTTCTTGCAGCACCCTCTGGGCTGGTGGCAAATAAGGTTTCAGCTTAACTGCCCTGATTTCTCGATTTGACTTTTTCAGACATGCCTCCATGAATTAGTATGTGCTTCAGGACTAGCTTCTTCACTTTCTGGAAGAGGCAAACATGGCATTAGTAGATGAGACACAGATTTCTGGAAAGCTGAACAAAGGAGACTGCTGCATACAGTACTAACTTAGTTTTTCTTAACAGGTCTTTGGGAACAACTCAAAGATTTAGGAGAATGTACAAACTGAAAGAGATCTCGGACCAACCAACAGTATAAACTTGCCACAACTCAGTTTTTTTCTTTGTGTAAAATCATTATAAAATAAACAAGTCAGTGAGTTGTGTGAAACCCCTAAAAATTATGGTATTTATCTTACATGAACCTATGTATGTTTATTCTGAACATTCCACACTGTTTATCTGAAAATGTGCATAGAGCTATAACTTGAATTATAGAAGTCATTTATGTCTGAACTGATCTAATTTCTGGCCATCCATCTCAACCAAGAACATTTTGCACAAATTCTCAGAATTCCTGCAGTCAAAACAGGCAATTCCTGGATGTAGTTATCAGTCAGTTAGGTGGAGAGTTATTTCTTTTAGTCTGCAGTGAGAGTTGTACATTTGATGGGTTACCAAAGAATCTCTGCAATTGTAGTGCCTGCTTCTTAGTATCTACAATTTTGCAGAAAATGCTCTACATTACACATACAGCACAGACCCATTTGTATCCAAAGTAAGGTCCAACATTTCTATGAAGCTCATTTCTAAGAAAGCGGAATAACTGATAGGGATACTAGGCAAGTAATAAAAAGACTATATTTCTATATTTCTATTTCTTTCAAGTCTGTGCACATTTTTTTAGGATCAAAGGAATTGGAGTTCACTTCCATGTAAGCAGGCTTAGAACACCAGCCAAAGAAGGAAGCAGCATGACTCAAAAGGCTGACAAAATAAAAACATGATTCTTATCTTCACTGAGCCAGCTAATGGAACAGATGCTATAATTTAACTTTTATCCAGCAACAAACCTCTGCAGTTAAACAGTGATAACTTAATACTTCATATAGCATTCTTTGCATAAGTTTACCTTGTAATTTGTTACAGCTACTTTGTGAAATATGTCCATACTATTAGGGAATAGCAGGCTGAGGCTAAAAGATAATGACTTTCTTAAATCCACTGGGTGAGTTTAAAAAAGTAGCAAGATTTCAGTTTTGGACATCTTGATTTGTACTTCAGTCACTCATCCAGCTGTAATGCTGGTAAGTCAGAGCAGCCATCATAATGTGACAGAGACCCAATAGAGAAAGAGAAAAAACAAACAGCTATAAACTTCTGGAGTTGGAAGCTTACTGTCAGACATAGTCAAAAGAATACTTACCTTCATTTCTTTTTAGACATTACTGCTCGGAATTCCATTTTCTTGTTGGAGATTTTCCCTTTCCTCTATTTCATTATAGTTAGTGCATTTTTTTCTTACCCTGAATAATAAAAGCATCCATCTCCATCACTTGGTGGAATTACTTTGTTTTTACGTAGTTCAAACGTAAGTACAAAATTATTTTAAATGATAGACGTGATATAGAAAAATGGTGACATATTCAGTTCCTTGCTGCTTTTGTGAGTAGCCAAGCCACGGTGGCACAAAGCTTGTGAATGGGCAAACCCAGCCAGCCATGCAACCACTGTTATCACCACAGGGCTGTCAACATTTCAAAAGTGCCCCAAAGCCTAAAAGTTTGGGTGCTTCTACTTTAAATTAAGAAAAAAAAAGTTTGGCATGTTAGTCCAAAGGCTTATATAAAAAGAACTGTGGCTGATGTTTCTGGGCCAAGGGGGTAAACCAGTGAGAAATTTGCTGGAGCTCTTCCCATCTCAGTATTGCTCTTAAAGACAAATCACTGTGGTCCTAATACTGGCATCTACCTGAAAAACCTATTTTATAAAACTTTTTTTTTCTTTTAAATGTATCTGCTTTTCCTAGAAAACTTAAAATTAGCAATTCATTTCTACATTTAGTAAACATTTAGTTAATTTAATAACAGCAGAAACTAAACAAAGAAGAAATAATTTTGTATAGTTGAATTTTTTTAAAAAAGGTTCAGTTGGAGTCTTGCCAAATGGGCTGATTTTTTCAGGGCAAAATACACTTATCAACAAATACTCTTGGGTAGTTTGGGGATATAAATCCTGTGATTCATAGTCCAGTTATGTACAAATAGATTCATTCTATGAACCTTTTGGAGCTTTCACTGATCAGTCGTAAGAGTCATGCTCTCCCCATTGCAGATCATGACTGGGAGTCATTTGTGAGATTGTGTTATCACCATTTCTCAAGTGCACCTAGGAAGCAGTGCTTAGCATCTGCTTACAATGTTCCATCAATCACTTCACCTGGATTAACTTTGATAGAATTTTCTAAAATTGGTGGGGGTTTTCTACTTTTATACATGGTCTGCACAAGTTTGAAACTAGCAGATCAGCCAAAGACTGTTATTGTGAACTGTTACTAGGCCTGCACAGAAAATGAGTAGGGGTGTTAATGACCCTCTGGCTAGGCTATATTTAGTAGATAGATCACCAAGTATGGAAGCCTTCAAGCTCCTTAAAATGGATTAAATCTCAGAGTGCTGGGGGGTGGGGTGGGGTGGATAAATGGCCTATGAGATGCCCACCCTGCTGAAAGCAGGCTTTAACTGGCAAAAGATAGATCATTCTTCCTCTAAAAAACCCCAAACAAACAAAAAATTCAATTTGCAAGAATTAAAATACTGCAGATCAAAGTTTCAGAACTTCTGCATAAATAGAATGGTATGTCCAGCTGAACAGTGGGGAGCGGGTTTCAGGCCAAGCCCCTGTAGTTTAGGTTTCAAATGGTCAATAGGCCCCAAAAAGCCTTGCAATGATACACTGCTATCTCCTGGGGAGAACATTTTTTGTTCCAATGTTTCATGATTTGGTGACTTCAAGGGATTTAATGGTGGGAGTGGAAGCATTTCAGTTCCCCAGGGCCTCACATTCCCATCCCCATCTTTAACATTTTTATTTAAAACCCATGCTGCTGAAATTCAGCCATTTTAGTGGCAACATTTGTTGTTACGCTCTTGGGAGCTTTGGGGGGCCCATTGGCTGACTAGGCAATGGGTGGGCCATCCAGCAGCATAGAAACAAAGCTTCCAAATTTAATAACCTGTTTACATCTGATCCCAAGTCAGAATTATTTATTAAATTTCATGTCAGGCAATGTGTTGCATACATGATATAGTCCCAAGGCAAGCATTTAGATGATGATGCTGATTATTATTATTATTATGGATATACAAATCTCTTTAAGTAATTCAGGGCAGGGATAGGGTGGAGGCCAGACTGCTGCGTGAACCACAAATTCCTGTGAAATAGCCCACAGTTTGAGTGAAACATTACCACAAAGGATTGAGGAAAGGAGGTAGCTGGGGAAAGGAAGTGACACAAGCTCAGTGCAGTACAGTATACTGATTGTGACGTACCGTTCAGTGATGATAATGACAATGATGGCAAAACTGATGAGCGAGAAGAAAACTGATACCACCCCAAGTGCTGTTTTTGAGAGACTCGGTTCATCATTGGTCTTTCGTGTCTTCAAAAACTGTTCCACGCAACGTTCACCAAAGTAATCTGGGTGGCATCTGAAAGCAAACCATGAAAATACACAATTATTTGTGCATTCACTGTCATTCTAAACACATATACACCACTAAAATGACGTACATTGGAGTACCTCCAGATCAGTGTTTCTCAACTTGGCTGGGAAATTCTGGGAGTTGAACTCCACATGTCTTAAAGTTGCTGAGGCTGAGAAACACTGCTTCAGATACATCCACTGTATTCTGCTGCTTAATTCCCTCTGTGTTACTTTGCCAGCAATAGGTTGAATTATTGATAATTTTGATGGAAAGCACCAGGAAAGGCACCCTCATTTTTTATGAATTCAGTGGCCATAATGCAGCATAATACAGCAACTCCACACTCCATACATCATAGGACATTTTAGTTGAATTAGGAATAATAACATAACAAAAAGGACTGTTTCAGCCCACAGAATAGTGCATGGAGCTCACATACATTAGGGTTTTTTTTCCCTTCTGGAAACCCAGTTCTGTCACTGGCATACAGTTCTTTGGGCTTCTAGAAGTCTTTGATTCGCCCTTGAGGGACAAGAAGTTCTGTGAAAATCACAGAAATTCACTTCATGGGGTATGCCATTTATCTGGGCAAAGATCTAGCAGCACTCATTCCCAAATTCCTTCATTGCAACTCACTCAGTGATGAGTTTCATTTGTTGCCCTGTCATAAACCATAGTTTACAGCCATAAATGCCTGGTACACAACCAACCAACCAAATTATACCTTGTGAACCCTATCTGGATTAATGGAGAATGTGTATGGAGGCAAGATAATGGCCAGGACCCATTTATTGATGGGTGGGGAATTAATTTATTCTTTTTAGCAGATCCATATATTCTGCTTTATCACCCCATTAATAACTCTGTGAGAGAATAATACCTTAAAGTGCCATCTACACCAACATATTAGCTGTCAAAATAGAGATACCAACAGTTTAATCAACATTTGTAATTTAACTTACATGCATGTAGGTACTGGGAACTGTTTGATATGTCTGCATTCACCATGAACACAGAAACCTTTAAATTTTCCTTCGCATGGAGTTTTATTTTTCCTTTTAGTTTTCTTCTCATTTCCTTTTCTTTTGGATTTGTTAGGGTTCTTTTTCCCACCATCTAGTTTTGCTGGATTCTTAATGGGTGATTTCTCTGGGAAAAAAAAATATTTATTTTAAGTTAATTATATTAGTCTCTGCAGTGAGCCAGTGCACTATTGTAGTCAAGATGCTGGACTAGGAGAAGGGAGACCCAGGTTCTAGCTCTCCTTAGGCACAGAAGCCACCTGAGTGACCTTGGGTCTCTCTGCCCAAATGAGCATCAGGCTCTGCACAAAGCTGGCTGATAATCAAAACCCTCATCGCAAACACACACTGGTAGCTTCATTGTAAAAACTAGGTGAGCACCGTGCAAAAACAAGTGGGCCCTGCAATGATGAGGGACAAATGCTAAGAAAAACAACGACCTACGTTGGCAGATGCAGCGAGCTCACTAGAAGCATTTGACTCGCATCCACTAGCCTTATTAGACAGGTTACACAAAGAAAGGGGCTTGGATTGGATCAGTGATGGAAGAAGGATTTTAACCTCAGATTCCTGTTGCTCTGATCAGTACACTACTTTGACTGCAAGAACAAGGATAAAGCAAAGGGCTGTCATAATGGCAACCAAGCCTATATACACAACAAATGCACAATGGCTACATTTATATGAGATGGTCACTTGTCATGGGAATCTCTAAACCTTAGTCAACTCTGGGATTAACCTTAAACAGCCCCAGTTTGTATTGATCATCCATTAATGAACCATTAATCTCATTAGCTATTTTATGCAAACACTGTAACCTGGTCAAAATAGTTGTCCAGCTTTAACTCACAACTTGGAGCTACAGAGTTTGTCTTAAGCCTACTGAGTCATTGTGGTTGGGGATGGCTGTCTCCTTTGCTATTGGTTTTCTCCCTCATGATGCTGGATAAAGATCAGCAGGCATTTCCTGAAGAAAATGGACGGGGACTCTGTATTCCCAAAATGATGACTTCTGACCCCGTTAATGTGATCACATGTTGCCAGAACCATTGCTAAGGGTTAACTGGGTTAAGCATGTTGTGCAACTAGGACCAACAAGTTCTACTACTCCAACAAGTAAAAAAAAAAATCAAGAAAAAATGCAGTTTTCTACATTCTAAAGCCAGTGTACTGTTCTAGACAGTTAAATCTTCTGGTGCAGAAAGATCATGTTCCCACCTTGTACCTTTAGAAACAAGGGCTCACTACATCTCTGGAATGAACGAGAATAAGAAGTAATTCACTGGTGATGCTGATAAAAATACGTATGTAAAGTTTTGGTTTGGTAAAATTATTTTACACTTTTCTTTTTTAAGAATTTCAAAAACAACAGGAAAGAGACAAGGGATCTGCAATTAGTTCTGCTTTTCTAAAAGTAATTAAAGAAAGCCAATGTGCAAAGCATTTTAATATAATCAGTCTTTTCTCATTTCTATCTGCAATAAAGTCAGAATATCATAAGCTTTACTGCTCAGCATTAAAGATAAATTAAATAGTGTTCTCTTAGAAGTTTAGCAATTCTAATGAAGTGTGGTAATACAGTAAATCCCAAAGATATTTGCATTTCAGAGGGGTTTAAAATAACAGAGTAGATAATTAGGAGGTTTTAGTCAGGGTTTCACAACAATCTGCCAATTCAAAAATGCATATTATGGAATTGAGATTATGGCTTGCAAATGAACTTCTCATTGCTAATCAGCATAAAACAGTCTCAGTGAATTCTTCACCTCTCCCCAACATGACTCCACTTACGGGTGGGTTATAGTCAATCTTAGAACTGAATCTTGAATTCTCTTTCTCCAAGGTGATTTGAAAACATAATGAAACAACTTCTGATTTTTGTTTAACAGCCTTTAAATTCAAAGCTTTAGGGCCAATTCACAACACTTGGTACGTTCACATGCAGCAGAAAGCTAGCATTCAGGTGATTCTTGGCTATTATTTATTAGTACCATATGTACCCATTTGGCTTTTCCCATCAGCAGGAGTAGCTAAACGAACAAGGAAAGACTTGCCACAAGGGCAAGCAACCTGGGGGCCCTCCAGATGTTTTGGACTTGAAATCCCAAGAAGCCGAGCCTACATGGCCAAAGGCAAGGATTATGAGAGTTGTAGTTCAAAATATCTGGGGACACCAGATTGTCTCCTCTGGCTTACCAAGTTGCCTGAACTGGTTCTTGTGATTTATCATTCACAACCAAGCAATGAGACATAAATCAAGGATATGCAACTCTGTCTTGGAAGGGGCACATTGAGTCAGAAACCCTAGTCACTTTTTATTCAATTATTATAGCCCATCCTTCCCAAATCTAATACCCTCAAGATGTGTTAAACTATAATTCCAGTGTTACCACTGAGGAATGATGGGAACTTGCTCTTACTCATCTGGAGGGCATATGGCAGAGAAGGCTGGTTTAGCCCTTTTTGTGATAGGAGGATCTAAACAAGAGTGAATGAGCAGGGAACTCATGAATTATATACCAGAAGTCTCCCTCATTAATGCATATGAGCATAATCACAACGTTGTAAGTTTGAATCCATTCTTCTTCCAAGGGACCCAGGATAATATGGACTTACTCTCTTTCTCTTTTATCCTCACAGCAGCCCTTTACATTAGATCAGACTGAGAGAGCATGATTGGCCCAATGAGTCTCAAAAATGTTTTCTGTGAATGAGGCATTTTTTTAGTTGCAGTTTGTCAGGATCAGGACTGGCAATCCAAGGGTTTCCTCTTGGTCATATGTCCTCTGCTTATTTTACTTTAGCCCAGAAATGTAAGGGATTGTGCCAATCCTTCTTGTTCTAGAAAAGAATTTGTTTTTCCTGTTTAAATTGCCACATCGACTAGGTCTGAAAGAACCATCGCTCTTCATAACCTCTTTATGGGAAGGTAAAGTCAGCTAATCTGTGATCAGATATACATCTTGGGAAGGTATGGACACCCCAGTCTGCTTACATCACTAGCCAGTGGGATAAACATTAATATATCACAGGCCAGTAAACAGTATATCTGGTTAGTAAAACTACTTCATATGAGTTTCACCAATGCAGTGAGGGCTAGGTTATGCATTAAATAACTAGTGAGAAAAGGCCGTGAGACAAACTACAAAATTCAAGCATCACAGAGCAAGGGGAATGCAACTTTCTATTAATTACTGTATATAATTTCAGCTATGTATTTTTACTTAAACCTGATTAATTTAAATTAACTACAAGGGAATTTGTATGCATATTTTGTATATAATGGCACCTTTGCCAACACATTTATAACTTCTGAAGCATCCAGAGTGGACTAAATCTCCTTACTCTGCAAATTCAGTAACTATATCTAAACAAACGTATCCCAGATTAATGAGACACTTAGCTCCTTTTACATAAACAACCAAACAAGACAGAAACATCTATCTCTAAGTAACTATAGCTTCTCAATGCGACTGAAGTGAGAAACTATAGGAATTATTTCCAAGCAAGCCCAAATATTAGGTTATCACTTAAAGTTGATTTTGCATGAAAGAACTTCCAAAACATTTGCTTCTATCTTACATTCAGTTTCAAATATAATCCAGGTTAGTCACCCTACAGAAAGCTTTATATATTATGCAGCAAGTCATCAGAATGGATCATAGAACAGCTTATGCTGAATATTGTTTTAAAATAGCAGGCCCTAATTACAGTCTTGAGAATTGGTTTTATGCCATGTAATTAGGATAACAAAACCAAAACTGGAGAGATCAGGTTTAAGTCCTCATTTGATCCAGAGCTCACTCGGGGACAGTTCTATCTCTTGGCCCAAACATTGTAAAGATAACGTGACAGGAAACTCCCATATGTGCCATCTTGATCTCTTAGAAGAAATGTGGTATATACTTGTAATACTATATAAATAATATAATTTGCCATTCTAAAATAAATGAACACATTACAGATATGATACTAATTCCTTGTTAGAACTTTATTCTACATGAATAAGTTCTTTACTTGAGTTAATGTCCATGGTTAAAAAAATGCAATGTAAGCATTAAGATTTATATAGGGTTTTTTTCTTATGTTTTGTCTGACAAACACTTATTGGGCAACATTAATATTTACAATATAATAACTGCTTAGAAGCTAGAGATGTAGATAAATCCCAAAGAACACTGAGTGTTCACACTACCTTTTTCTCTGTACATGTTCAAAGACACACTAAGCATGACTGAGCAGTAATAATGATGCTTATGGCACTCACCCAGCAAATGAACAACAAATAACAGCAAACCATGGCCATCTGTGGTTTGCCACTTCCTCTCCTTTTTGGTTGATATCTCAACAATCTTTGAACTAACTGATACTTCCTGTTTCTCTTTCCATTTTTGCCATCAACAGTGATGATAGAGCATCTATGGATGGAGTGGGGTAAAGCTAATCCTTCCCTTTGTCTCTAAAACAGAGGTAAAAAACAAAAATGGAGCAGTTGGAAATGCTGCTGCAGGACCAGCTCAGTGATCTTTCTTTCTCTATCGTTTTCTTGGAGGACTACTGGCTGCTTTTTCATTTAGGTTCAAATAACACACTAAGCCAGGGCTGCTGCTTATTAACCAAAGACAAACCAAGGTTGCCTTTGTAGTTGATGATTTATTATCTAATTATGAAGCGACTATGTTCCAAAGTTTGGCTTACACAGTAAACCAAACTATACTATGGTTTGCCATACTGTGCAATTGTGCTCACTTTGACTTTGTGTAGAGGTCATCAGCAGCTTCACCAAATAAAGTTGACTGGAATACCTTTTTGTCCATAATGGACATTGAGTCCATTCCACAATTTTTTGGAAACAGGCAAGACTACTGTAGCACAACCAACATAAATTTGCAACTATTAACCCAAATGATTATATTTAAAAGAAAGATGCTCAACTTGAATCAATCAGAAAATGAAAATATTAATGAACCAAATACTTTAAAGCTTAAATGCATTGGCTCAGGAAAAATGAGGATTAATGGCAATACTCAGATGCTTAAGAAATTATATTTGATTGAATTTCTCATTTACTGAATTCTGATAAACTTATCCAATCTGATTTTCATCTCTAAACTTTAGTATTCTAATCAACATTTTGTCATTCACGTAAGTATCCATCAATGTTAAACACACATTTTAACAGAAAATGTGCCTAGAAATGTGCATTTCATTATGAATATCAATTCCTTTTTAATATTACAAATGAATGCCCAAATTATGTAGAATCGAATGGCTAATAGCAGACTACTTCAAAAGTAACATAAATCAGAAGAAGGTTAATTCCCCCTAATATTAAATCAGAGGAAATAGTTCAAGCTTTGAACTTGTCACAAAATTAAAGGTGCTGCTGCTGCTCTTTTTGACTGACATATCCTCTGCACACCTCTTGGATATACTAGAAGATGCTCACCTCTTTCTGATTTTGAACAATCAAAATAAACAATATAGTAATATTAAAGGAAAAAGGCCTGTTGATTTAATACAGTCCACAGTCAAGTTTTGTGCCTTCAAATTTCCACTCACCCCAACACACACTTGGTGGGGATTTGGACAAAATATGTTTACAGTACACCATTGTTAGATTACAGGTTGAACTATTTACAACAATATAAAGACTAGTTAAAAACAGAAGAATTCCCTATATTATGTTTCAGTATTTCACTATTTTTTGAAGACTTAATTTTAAGAGAGATAGTAAAATCCATTCATTTCTTCCTTAGTAAATAATTTTCATTTTGGTTAAGAAAGGGATTTTCACTGCAGTGATAAGCTGAAGACCTATAGTATGAACACAGTAATTGTATACAATTAACTACTATTTAAAAAAAAAACTCTCTGGGATTTCTAGCTTCACCAAAGTTTCTTGAAAGATAGACTTTGTCAGAGCTTCTTGAAAGACATAGTTAGTACCAAGCACTAAATTTCCTAGGATTCCTTGGGAGAGATGGATTGACTATAACATTAGCTTAAATCTGTATTGTAGAGGTACGGTTGGTGTTCCGAAGCCAACTTCATACTTACGTCCAAGATGTACTTCTTTCTTACTAGCATGAAGTCCTTGCCAATGACATACATGCTACAGAATAATCTTGGGATACTTGGAAAGTGCTACACAATCATTCAGACTATTAATATTATCATAATTGTTTAACAGCAAGCATGTGACTATTGATTTATTTAGAAAGGAAAGAAAAACAAAAAATACAGAATTTTTCACAAAGACACCAGTAGTGTAAATATAAGTTTATTCAATACCTTCTTAGACATATCCCTTTTTATCCAGCTGAAGTCTTCGGATAGCATGGATAAAAATAAAGAAAGAATAGGATTCTGCAATGCTTGGAATATATTCTAAGAAAGCACTGGGATTTAAATGTAACACCTGCCTTTTGGGGAGAGACAAAGCAACAACTCTTTGCAGAAAAGTGCATCATTATACCAGGCTCCTCTTGTGTGCCTCAAAGTCCCAAATGAGAGAAATATCATGGGCAAGCACTACATTTCAACCTACCTCTTTCTGCATCACTCACAAGGAACTGAGATGTTTTCACTTCCTTCACGTTATCTTCTTCTGCCTCTTCATACTCAACTCCTGCTGATAACAGATCAGTGGAAGATGTGTTGAACGTCTTCAAGATGGGCACGTTTTGCTCATCTTTTGTCACATTTAGCTCTGATCCAGCAGCATGCTGGTAGACTGTAGAAAAGAAATGAAAGAAATGGGCACCATTCTTACTAGTCAAGAAAACTAGCAGAGAGGTGTTTACCTGAAAATTACACTAGGCAGCTATTGCACATGTAGTGACTCTTATTCCCACAGTGAGTCATTCAAAAAACAGCTCTCAGTTTTTCTAATGTGAATTTGTTTAGATTGCCCCAGAGTATTAAAACTGTCTGGCCAAGTGCCAAGTTATTGCATTCCATCACCAGAATCCTAGCAAGTATTCTTTAACAAATATTGATCCCCTACAGTGGGTACAAGTCCATGAGCTAACCTGGAGGTCACTTACTTGGAGAAGAAAAATACTTCTATCAAAACTGCTTCTGAGAACATAGAATTAAGACTGAGTGGTAATCCTGATTGCCAGAGCAGTTATCCATCGATTTTTCCCATCTTGCAAATATGAAGTGCTGGCCGAGTTCTGCGTTAATGTCCTCAGATAAATATTTTTCCCAAGGAAATTAATCAGTCAAACAGGCATCTCCCAAGGGCAAGTTATGCTGCTGTATTAGGTACAATGGGTTTTGACCAAGCAACTGACAGGAACAAATACCCAGCCATTCTGATTTAAAGTTTGCAGCATGCTTTCTCCTTTCCTAAAATCATAGTTACTGAGTATTTAAAACTCCTCCAGCAAAGAAATGACCATTTAAAACCTGAAAACCTACTAAGAATCACTTTGAATTGAGCTCCACTCAGCACTGTGGGGTGTAAACAACATTTCTTAATTCAAATCCTGCTTCACCCTGACCCCTCTAAAATATAGGAAAATAACTAATCCCTTGCAGAGTTGTGGAAATTAAACAAGGAGCATCCACAGCAAAAAACACTGTTATTTCAAGAGCTCCCAGGGTGCAGGGAATGGTAGGCAAGGAGAGCTGGGTTCCCCACCCAGCAAAAAAGGTAACTAAATGTGTGACTTAGTGAAGCTGTTCTTAACAGGGTCCTTGTAACGAGAGAGAGACAGAGAGAAAGAGGAAGTACACAAACGGAGAAGAAAGTAGAGGTGAACTCCTAGGCTGAATAACAGATACACTATCGAGATTTTGAGGATGGTTTCGGTCCGCGAGCCCGCATCGAACGCCCGCGTGCCTTTCAAATACCCAAAACGGACAAATTGAGAAGTGGGAAAGAGGGAAGGGGAGGGCGGGAGACACAGAAGGCACCCCCCCCCGCCCCGCCAAGCTGCTGCCCCAGCCTTTCAGGCGCCTCCTATTTCAAAACAGCGGTGTAGTTCCAGCCCATGTTTCCGGAGGAGTGAGAAAAATCGGGGAGCGCGAGGCCCCACTCGGGAAACTGCAGCGAGCTCCGATCTTAATCCCAGGAACGCCGCCGCTCTTCAAAGCCCAAGTTCGGGCGCGCTTGGCTGCGCGCCCCTCTGCCCCGCCCCTCGACGGGGTCCGTCGCTAGCTCGACCGCCGGCCCGCCGGCCCGCCGCCCGCCCACTCACCTGGACTCCGGAGCAGCGGGAAGAGGAGGAGGAGGAGAAAGAGCAGGGCGCGCATTGAGGGGAAGGGAGCGTCGTCGGGGACCGGTTTGCCTGAGAAGACGGAGCGGAAAGCGCGCTGAAGCGGCTCAGGAGGACTCCCTCGGTGCCTGGCGAATGTTAAGCGCGGCGCGGCGAGGACACTCCATACCCATCGAGCAAGGGATATATATGCGGTGCCGTCGCCACCACTGGGAGGCCGGCAGTCAGGCAGGGCGGTCGGATGAAGCTCGACGTCAGCCGGGTGGGGAAGGGAACAGGTGCGCCTCCGGTCGGGAGACACCACCCAGCTGCGTGTGGCGCAAAGAGCTAGCAGGTCGCGGAGGCGGACCGGCCGCGGCAAGTAGAAAGCCGTCTGATGATTCAGCCGTGGTCACGCTCTCTTCTCGTAGTCCCCAGCGGCTGCAGACGTCTCCTCACGTCTAAAGAAGCCGAAGACCGACTCGATGAGGGCCAGGTGGGGTCACCTGGGCCGGCCAGATTGTGCTTTGAGCTGCCCCAAAGGGAGATGGAGAGCAAGGCTGTCCACCAGCTGTTTCCTCTTCAGAAGGGGACTGCACGGGCCCTCCATGCAAGACTTGGGGAGGCTCCAGTCATATTTTTCTTTCCAGGCATTTTCCCTCTAGCATTATGGAAAGAGTAACTCAGTGTTTTTCAAACTTGGCAACTTTAAGATGTGTGGACTTCAACTCTCAGAGTTCCCCAGCCAGCATGCACTACTGTAACAGAAGAAGCCTGAAATGGCAGTAAGAAGGGGGCTGCACTGGCCAAGGGCTGTCTGTTGCCTATCTTCACATCGTTCCCCTGCGTGAGGCAGCTGCACAGTAGTATCCTGCAGTAGGTTGAGGCTCACACAGCACTTTGCATCATCCACAGTATACTAGCATAGGCTGTGTCCTGAGTTGCACCTAACCATGGTACAGATATGACCTGGCAACATCATTGCCTGCCTTGTCCTTAGGACGTTACCCTCATCTCTCCAGCCCATGAATGAGACAGGCTTCAGTCGCCTTTACCTGTCCCAAGGGTGTCCAAAAGAGAGGGTCAAAAATGGCCTGGTTGCAGCTGCCATTTTGAGTTTTTGTGTCTCCGCACCCCACCCCCCTGGGATATCCCTGGCTGTACCAGCATTAAAGTAATGTTTTCCCCATATTCTGACACTATCCAGCGGCAATGAAGCTGCGTAAAACCTGTCACGTTTTGTCATAGGTGACCTTGAGAAATGTCAGGAAACTACAGACACTGGAAAGAGAGAACTGAGCAAGATAGGAATCAACAATGGGGCCAGCACATTTCATTCTGGTATATTTTTTGCCAGTTCTGTAGGTAGCGCTATAACTTGATAAAGGAAAAAGGCCCATAGTGTTAGTATTTGGAACACGTGCAATTTAACATTTAGAGTTCACAAATTACTCTGATAGCTTGACATGCTGAACCACAAACTACCCACCATATTTTAATCTGATGTGTTGGACAAACTCAGCCTGTTTGATTAGATTACTGTTTGGTTAAGCTTGAATAAGTGTGTTGGCTTACAGAGTCAAGGGGGCGGGGGGTCAACAATGTCAAAATGGCTGGCATGACCAGGCAATTGAAGTCCTGCCCCTTTTTACATGAGTGCAGTGCTTTGATCACCTAAGTGCACTCACAGTTTTGATGCTGTTGACACCCCCTCCCCAAAGGACGCCCCTGTGGTTAGACACAATTGCCTAAATAGCTGCTTCCAGTGCTACTAGTCTGTACATTGACTACCGGAAGATGTATTTATTTAGCTTACAGTACATACCTCCATCTCTCATGACTCTTAGCAGTTTGCTTTTGCTGTCCTGACTCCTCAGCTCTTACACATTTTTATTTGGAAATAAGCACCACTTACTATTATTTCATAGACATATGAAATACATATACATGTGTGTGTGTGTAAAAATAGTAAAGTGAAAATAAGAAATAAGCAACTACATCTAAGAACATGCTGGCTGGTCATTCCTTAGTTATAACTCTTTATACAACCGAGATGAAACAATGCTATGTTGAGATGATCAGTCTCAAGTGAATCCAGCAACATACCCAGGTGCCAAGATCAGGTTTATTTGACATTGCTCCCATTATCTGCGGTTTCTTTGATAGTCATTTAGGATCCCTTCATCTGGGCCCTGGCTTTTGTCTCCAAATAACTCTTTAGTTTGGCTGGACTCCTGGTGACTACATGGACATAAAGTCCACTCCAAAAAGAAAGCCCTATTGTATTGCTCTTGAAATTATTGCTTTCCTTCGCCTTTCCTTCAGGTTAACATGCAGTTCTTAACAAGATTTTTCAGGATTCAAACTGAATTCACTGAAAGTAGAATCATCCAGCCCCCATTCACCATGGGATGTCTGCAGCACCAGTACTTTGTCAGATGCTTTGCTGATAACCGTGTATCTACGGCATTGCTGAGATTTAGCATGCTAGAGACTCTTATCAGTTTTCTGCACTGAATGAATGCATGGAACAAGAATGAATCATATATCAACACTGTCTTTAGCATGCTGCCTGGCACTTTGTCATTGGTAGTTGAATTGTTACATGTCTTCATTTAAAAGCTGTGTCTATATTTCTTATATTGCAGGGATAGATGACCGGTGGAACTCAGATTGGAAAACAAATGCAGACTTTTTATTTCTGTTTCTTTCCCAGATAACTAGACATTAATTCCTACAATTGTTAAAGAGATATTTCACTGCTATCAGTAGAGCATTGCCTGGCATTTTTCTTCCCAAATAGGAAGGGCCATGGCTTAGAGCAGGCATTTTGCATGCAGAATGGTCTAAATTCCATTCCTAGCTGGGAAAGATTCATATCAGTAACTCTAGAAAGCCCAGCCAATGTAGACACTACTGACTTAGAGTAATCAGCAGCCTCACTTATACAGGACAGCTTTTCCTCCAGATCCTCAGTTGGGTTTGCCCACTTTCTTGGCCTGTAAATGGAGCTAAAGAATTTGAGAAGGGAAGAGGGTCAAAGTAGATTTAGAATGAAGTGATACCATATTTGTTATTGAGTATGCTGCATTTATTTATCAATCTTAGCCTATTACTTTTCAGCCTAGGGCTTTGGCATACTCAAATAAAGTCATGTAACAGCCTTTGTTTGGTCAGATCCTGGTCAGTTAGATAGGTGGCTAAGATCTGGAACAAAAAGAGAATTCTAGTATAATAATAATCTATATCTCTGAAATACAAGATAAGCAGGATATATTTTTCATGTACGTATTGCCAAGGCTACTTCAATAAAGGGTGGCTTAGCTGCAGTCTAGATACATTAATTAAGGGGGATTAGATCAGAAAAAAAGGTATACGTTTACGCTGTTGCAAAACAGAAGAATTGTGTATTGTTAAATGGCTTCATTTTTGTTAAATCAAGGAAACAAATGGTAGTGATTTTGAGTATTCATATGATAATCATATGATTCTGTTTTTGTTCAAGTTTCAGTTATATTTCAAGGGGGCTTCATATTCTTTTGTAAGCTTAAAAGCTGTCAGGGGGCCGTGGTCGAGCTGTTGCTGTAAAAATCTCTGTACAAATGTTTGCTTTAGGGTTGGCATTCTTACGGTATAGTTCTTTGATGTAAGACTTCTTTCTGTGTCAAACACTTGGTGACTGAGGCAAGCAGCAGGGATGACGGGGCATCCCTGCCTCATTCCCCTTCAGAACTGAACAATAGAAACTGCTGATTATTAACTATCACCATACGGCATTATAGTAGCTTGTTCCAGGGACAACAATTGGCACATAGCTCCTCTTTAATAACTCTACAATTCCATTGTCAAAATCTTTCTGAAAATCATATTATGGTCAGCTTCAAGCTCTTGACTAGGTGGCTGGTCTTAAATTGGTGGTTAAGTGATGGCCTGGTATGTATCTAAATTTTTTCAGACTGATATCATTAGTGATAGTATTCACAGCAAGAAACTTTAAATCTTCAGTGATTGTAAAGATTGGCCTTTGGAATGTGCAATCTTTGCCAGGTATGTTCTTACTACTATAGTGGATAAATTTACTAACTTCCTCTATTGCAACTGCAGGACATTCTTCTGCAATTTCTGAGAGCTCCTCCAATTTAACTTGTTCCTGGATATTCAATATCTGCTCTAGAAAAATATGTGGAAAGAAATATTTGTCGAGGTCATCTGTGCCTTAATTGGGGTTCTAGCTCCCCTGGATAGTCTACATCCAATATTTGTTTTCATTATGATTATCACATGCCCTTCCAATTCTCATCAGAAATAAACTTTTTTCCTTCGTATTTTTTTAAAATGAACTCAGTGTTTATCCAGTGTCTCCAGCACCACTAAGGTTTCATAAATTTTATCAAGACTAATTGTGGGATTTTTAATCTCATAAGATTTGTTAATCTGTTAATCACTTCTAATAATTTAGGTGTCCCTGAAGCTGAAAATTCTTCTGGTCAAATCCAAATGTCAGTAGATGTTGTAGTTGTAAATGTTGCCAGTAGACAGCAAAAGGGAAATTAAATTTGTCCTTGAACATAGGAAATGATAAAACTAATTTGTCTACAATAAAAATCTCAGCATCCATCCAATTTTTCCATACAACTTTTTTTTAAATCAATTTTAAAGTCTGCTTACCTCATAATATTAATTTAGCAGTTTTTCATAAATGCTATACCACAATATTAGAATCAGTGTAATAGGAATAGGAGTATGTCTCACCTATTATATTTTTAACCCCAAACTATCCAATTAATTAAAGATCCAATGAATGAATATTCTAAAAGGCTCCATGAAGGAGAATTTATACTGAATGAAGCTGTCCAGAATTTGGTATTAGATTGAAGATATGCGTAATGACATAATTCAAGATTAAGACCCCCCCGAACTGAGCTTTTGAAAATCTTTTCATTATCTATCTATCTATCTATCTATCTATCTATCTATCTATCTATCTATCTATCTGCTATATAAATTGAATAAATAAATAAATATTTATTTATCTTGACAGTCTTTATCTTATCTTAAAGGTAAACTTTATATATACTTGTTGATAAATCAATTTGACATGTAGATTTTAAAGTCAGAATGGAATAAGGAATTGAACATCCATATTTTGTCTAAAGAATGGGACACTGCCTTAGTTTCCATATCAAAATTTTCAATCAATCCTAGACTATACCTTTTTTTAACAACAA